CCCCGGGGCCGTCCCGTTTTGGTTAGGTGCTGTTCGCCTCTTTCCCTCCCTGTTCCCGGCTCCTGACCGTCTGTGGGTGTCAGTCGGGGCGGGGTTTAGTTGGTGCTGAGACTCGGGTGGCTTCGGGGGCTGCCCGGTTTAGGTTAAGGACTGAGGTTTCCGAGCCTGTTCCTCCTGCCAAGGCTTCTGGGTCTTACCAGCAGCCCTTTCTATGCTGCCTTTTCCCTGGACTCTTCCTTTTCTTTAACCCTTACACTGCTCAGGGGTCCTGGGGACATTTACACCCCTGTGCGCAAGAAAAAACAAAATTCAAAATTTTTTTTCGTCTTCTAAACATGTTAATTTGTGTCCCTTGAGCACGGGGGGGAAAAAAAATCGTAGGTGACATATTTTGGGCGCAATTGACCGAGGAAGTCTGGCAAAAAGTGGGCGTTGACAGAGCGGTCGTCACACCCGGTCAGCGTCACCCGCGCTGACAGGTGGGAGTTGCCACAAAAATATTATTACCTAATTATTTCAATGTCTCTGATTGATTTTTTCTTAGTTTTTTTGCAGTAATATTATTCAATAGTGTGTATTGTAATATATTTATATAATAAAAGTGGTGAATAATCGCCATACTCAAAAGTATGATGTGCATATTAGTGATTCAATTATTATGTTTATAAAACAATAAACAAATAGTTTTGCTGCTATTACACTCTATACACAGGTTATATATAAGTATCTGCATGTTTTGGTCACCATAACGAACCACTAAGTTGGTATTGAGAGTCGAAAAGCAACGAGGAGTTAACCGCCACACACACACCCAGCCACTCGCTGCCACTCCCTCAACACACGCACTAAACTTTCTTCCCCAACAATACCATTTGTGGTGTTATTACACTATATACAGACGTTATATATAAGTATGTATATATTTTGTTCACCACAACTGTACAGCTAAGCTGATAGTTAGTTCAGGCACTAAGAGTCGTCGCTATACACAGATGGCGGCTGGCGGCTCCCTCACTCATTCAAGGTCACACGCACTAAACTTTCTCCCCCAACAATACTGTTTGCAGTGTTATTACCCTATATACACATATTATATATAAGTATCTACATGTTTTATGCACCGTAACTGTACACCTAAGCTTGTAGTGCGCCTAAAGAGCATAGTGGCCACCCTCTAAACAGCTAGACAAATCGTGCAGACGTCACCACCTCCGTCACCCATATGGCTTCTCCGAGCATAATCCTTTTGCTGTTATTACACTTGCCCAAGCATTCTCCCGTTTGTGTCAGCAGGCTACAGCAAAGACTCAACCCTCCTGTTTGGCAAACATGAAGTCACCTCAGCAGAGGGAATTCAACAGGGTGACCCACTTGCACTGTTCCTCTTTTGCATAGCGGTTCGAGAAATTACAACCAGACTGTCCAGCGAGCTCAACATCTGGTTCCTGGATGATGGCACTCTGGCAGGCACACAAGATTCCCTGCTAGAAGACCTACAGCTGGTGAAGACACGGGGGGAGTCCATGGGTCTCGTTCTTAACCCCTCCAAGTACGAAATTATTGCATCCAGTGAAGTAATCATTAGAGCAGTGAAATCAGTTCTACCAGAAGCCTCAGTCGTTAAACCTACCGACAGCACACTACTCGGAGCACCTCTGGGCCACAATGCCATTGCTGCAGTCCTTGACGAAAAGTTTAGAGACCTAAAGAGGATGGAAGAGAGAATTGGGGACTTGGACTCCCACGATGCCCTCTACCTTCTCACAAAGTGCCTTACCTTGCCCAGGCTAACATACTTCTTAAGGTGTGCACCAACTTTTGGCAACCCACTTCTAAATCAATATGATGAGCTCCTCAGGTCAATATTCAGGAAGGCGCTCAACCTAGATTTAGATGACAGTCAGTGGGACCAAGCAACACTACCAGTGAGATTTGGAGGGATAGGCATACGAAAGGCAACTGAGGTAGCACTTCCAGCATTCTTATCCTCATGTACAGCAGCCAACGAATTGGTAGGGCAGATCCTACCAGAGCGTATGAGAGAGACAGCGGGAACTCATGATCAAACGTTCATCGAAGCAGCCAGACAATGGGACACCATTGCACACCCTCAACCCTGACCACAAGTCCCAAAAGACCACAAGCAGGCCCACTGGGATAGCCCCATAATGGAAAAGACTGTCACAGCAATGATTGACAACGCTGATGCTGAAAACAAAGCCCGCCTCCTAGCGGTAACAGCACCCCACGCCGGGGATTTTTTATTTGCTGTGCCCAATGCAGCCCTGGGAACTTGCCTCAGTCATGACGCTCTCCGCATTGGAGTTGCCCTTCGCCTTGCCGCCCCCATCCTCACCGAACATAGGTGCATCTGCGGAACTGCGATGGCAGACCAATATGGTCGTCATGGTCTGGTATGTCGTAAATCACAGGGTAAAATTGCAAGACATGAAGAAGTCAACGACATTATCAAGAGGAGCCTCGCCACAGCCCGCTGCCCGGCACAAAGAGAACCACACTTATCCAGACCTAACGACCCTCAGAAGCGCCCTGATGGGGTCACCTTGCTACCTTGGAAGGATGGTAAGCAAGTGGTATGGGACTACACGTGCGCTGCCACACTGGCCAGTACCTACCTCCACTACAGCACACGTGAAAGCGGTGGTGCTGCTTCTTTCAGGGAATCGCAGAAAATTATTAAATACAGAGGTCTAGCACACTGCTACAGCTTTGTTCCGATCGGCTCGGAGACCCTCGGTTCGTGGGGAAAATGTGCATTGAAGTTCCTGAAGGAATTGGGGGACAAATTGATCAGCGCTACAAAAGACCAGAGAGCAAAAAGTTTCTTGTTCCAGCGCCTCAGTGTTGCGATTCAGAGGGGAAATGCCTGTTGCGTCTTGGGCACTAGTCCAACTTCAGAGGAATTCGAAGAAGTGTTTGACTTGCAACAATGATCGAACCCGTCTGTGACATTCATCAATGTTTCCCATTGTTGTGTTTTTCAAGAGATCCATAACCTTTAAGCACCTTTTTGCATTATTATTTTTGTATCAACCCATGTATATCTTGTAACCATCAAATGCATAATAAAGCACAAAAAATAAAAAAGGAAGGGGGTGGTAGGAGAAAAGCACACAGAAACTGTATTGGAGGGGATCTAAACATTCCCTCTAATGCGTTATGCGTGGTTTCCTCCGAGGCTATGGGTCCCCCTTCTTCCAGCTAGAGGTGGTACTCCCTTCCATATTTTGTTTATTATATATATATATTATATATATATATATATATATATTATATATATATATATATATATATATATATATATATATATATATATATATATATATATATATATATATATATATATATATATATATATATATATATATATATATATATATATATATATATATTATATATATATATATTATATATATATATATATATATATATATATATATATATATATATATATATATATATATATATATATATATATATATATATATATATATATATATATATATATTATTATATATATATATATATATATATATTATATATATATATATATATATATTATATATATATATATATATATATATATATATTATATATATATATATTATATATATATATATATATATATATATATATATATATATATATATATATATATATATATATTATATATATATATATATATATATATATATATATATATATATATATATATATATATATATATATATATATATATATATATATATATATATATATATATATATATATATATATATATATATATATATATATATATATATATATATATATATATATATATATATATATATATGTCGTACCTAGTAGCCAGAACGCACTTTTTGGCCTACTATTCAAGGCCCGATTTGCCTAATAAGCCAAGTTTTCCTGAATTAATATATATTCTCTAAATTTTTTCATATGAAATGATAAATCTACCCTTTTCATTATGTATGAGGTCAATTTTTCTTTATTGGAGTTACAATTAACGTAGATATTTGACCGAACCTAACCAACCCTACCTAACCTAACCTAACCTATCTTTATAGGTTAGGTTAGGTTAGGTAGCCGAAAAAGTTAGGTTAGGTTAGGTAGGTTAGGTTCTCGTAAAACAATTAATTCATGAAAACTTGGCTTATTAGGCAAATCGGGCCTTGCATAGTAGGCAGAGAAGTGCGTTCTGGCTATTAGGTACGACATATATATATATATATATATATATATATATATATATATATATATATATATATATATATATATATATATATATATATATATATATATATATATATATATATATATATATATATATATATATATATATATATATATATATATATATATATATATATATTATATATATATATATATATATATATATATATATATATATATATATGTCGTACCTAATAGCCAGAACGTCATACTTGAACTACTATGCAAGGCCCGATTTGCCTAATAAGCCAAGTTTTCCAGAATTTATATATTTTCTCAAATTTTTTTCTTATGAATGATAAAGCTACCCATTTCATTATGTATGAGGTAAATTTTTTTTATTGGAGTTAAAATTAACGTAGATATATGACCGAACCTAACCAACCCTACCTAACCTAACCTAACCTATCTCTATAGGTTTGGTTAGGTTACGTAGCCGAAAAAGTTAGGTTAGGTTAGGTAGGTTAGGTAGTCGAAAAACAATTAATTCATGAAAACTTGGCTTATTAGGCAAATCGAGCCTTGCATAGTAGGCTGAGAAGTGCGTTCTGGCTACTAGGTACGACATTATATATATATGTATATATTATATATATATATGTCGTACCTAATAGCCAGAACGTCATACTTGAACTACTATGCATATATAGTAGTTCAATAATAATAATAATAATAATATAATGTGTGTGTGTGTGTAATTTATTTAAATGGAGAGCACTTAATTATACCCATAAATATTCCAGAGCAGAACTTGTTTTCTTCAAATGGCAGTGGTTATAATGGCTTCAGTAGTAGTGGTGGTTATCAGGATTGCCAAGGAGGATATCAGGGCGGCTACCAAGAAGCTGGCATTAAAAGTCAAACGGAAGCATTTTTTAACAGGGTTCAAGATGAAAATGCTTCTCGACCAAAGTGAGTGGAACTTTATCATTGCATCTGCAATGAACTTGTATTTGTAAAAAAAATGTGGTAAATACTGTTCTGAACTGTATTTGGTTAATTGTATTTGGTTAACATTAAGCAATCTATTAATGTCAATTTGTATTATTATTTTTGTATATGTTCTGTACAGTGTTCTGTGCATGTCAACAAGTAGCATTTACTGTATCTGTTACAGAGGTGCATGGATGGCACTAAATAAGTACATTACCATTATAAAAATATCCCAAAACAGCTTGAGACCTCGAGCATATCTTCCAACAGGTTAATTGTTGTAGTTGCCTTAAAAACATAAACATCTTTACAAATTTGTTATGAGTATACTGAATTAAATAGTACCCAAACCCTAGGAAGGTCATGGATGATGGTTGACAAGGTGCCAATCAGAAGTCGAGAATAGTGGAAACCCTTCCCTAACACTCGCCTTAGTAGTCATAAAATACAGTGATTTATAAATATACAGTGGCTTGGCTGTGAAAAGGATTAGTGAAGTAACTGTGGTACCCAAACAGGACCTTCGATGGCTTCTAAATACTGAGTAATAAAACTTGACAATCTATGAATCCCCCTTTCAACCAAGTAGACTTTAAAGATTTAATGCGCTTAAGCAAGTTAGATTGCAATGCATAATTTTCCTAAATTCTGTCATGTGGTGTATTGTCGATAGCTACAAATTTTAACACTTTCTTCTTATACTGTTTCTTCTTTTTGGGAAGTTTGGTATCCTTAACCCTTCCACTGCTAAGGGGTCCTGAGGGCATTTACACCCCTATGCGCAAGCAAAAAAAATTCTAATAAATTATTTCGTCTTCTAAAAATGTTAATTTGTGTTCTCTGATCACGGGAAAAATAAAAAAAAATTGTAGGTGAAATATTTTGGGCGCAATGGACCGAGGAAGTCTGGCAAAAAGTGTGCGTTGAAGGAGCGGTTGTCAGAGCCGGTCAGCGTCACCCGCACTGATAGGTGGGAGTTGCCACAAAGATATTATCACTTAATTATTTCACTGTCTCTGATTGATTTTTTCTTAGGTTTTTTGCAGTAATATTATTCAAGTGTGTATTGTAATATATTTATATAATAAAAGTGGTGAATAATCGCTATACTCAAGAGTATGGTGTGTATATTAGTGATTCAATTATGTTCATAAAACAATAAACAAATAGTTTTGCTACTATTACACTCTATACACACGTTATATATAAGTATCTGCATGTTTTATTCACCATAACGAACCACTAAGTTGGTATTGAAAGTCGAAAAGCAACAAGGAGTGACCGCCACACACCAGCCAGCCACTTGTTGCCACTCCCTCAACAACGCCTCACTCGCCCACTTTTTCCTCCCACCATCCTATTTTATATTTTATTCACAATATACAGACATTATATATAAGAATCTACATGTTTTGTTCACTACAACTGTACAACTAAGCTGATGTAGTTAGTTCAGGCACTAAGAGTCGTCGCTACACACACAGTCAGCTGGCGGCTCCCTCACTCATTCAAGGTCACACACACTAAACTTTCTCCCCCAACAATACTGTTTGCACTGTTATTACACTATATACACACATTATATATAAGTATCTACATGTTGTATGCATTGTAACTGTACACCTAAGCTTGTACAAAGAGCATAGTGGCCAGCCTCTACACATCCAGACAAATCATGCAGACGACGTCACCTCCGTCACCCAAATGGCTCCTCCCAGTATAATCCTTTTGCTGTTATTACACTAATACACATATTATATATAAGTATCTACATTTGTGTTCACCATAGAAAACCACTGAGCTGGTATGGTGACTGCAGAAAATAACAGGTGGCCACACAGTCAGTAAACGATGCTATCTCCCTTCGTCCGTCAGCATCACTCCTCCCACAGCGCTAATTATTACAACAATCCTTCTATTATCACAACCCTGGTTATTTACATCAGAGCATTGCGGTGCTCTCACAGTCAGGAGTCATCTGTAATATTGTCATCGCTAAATAATAGCAATTATATATTTATTTTGACATTTTTCGGCGATGCTGTGGTCACAAGTTGAACAGCAATGCTGTTCGCTCATGCTGCGTGCGCCAGCTTTGGTTGCTCCAACTGTACTGTGGCTCTCACACCTGAGAATATTGCCCACGATTTTTTTTTTAAATGTCGTCTGTTTACAAGAGCCTCGAGGAAGCTAATGTGAACCCCGTTTAGCCGCGGGCCATTTCAATCGTACCTGGCACCCTATGGCGTATATATACGCCATGCGCACCGTGGGACGTGTTACTCATGGCGTATATATACGCCATGCGCAGTTTAAGGGTTTAAAGTTCATGTTGCTCCTGGTTTATAGTGTGTGACTTGAATATTGATAGTGTTACCAACATGAGATGCATGCATCTCTCCAAGAATCAAAAAGCAGCAAACACCTCATGAACTTTAAGGATGTATAAGTCATCATCAAACAAAGCAAGCATCTGAAGACTACGAAATCTGCCATCATCAGAGAACACCATTGAACAGAATCAGGGAAGATTTAGCATTGTATTGCAGTTTCACTTTAAATTGTTGCTAGAAAAAATATAAACATAGCCATGGTTAATCTATTAGTTTTCTGGCCTCGCCCCCAACTTCACCTCATCATCTTCTGTTCATAACCAGCTATTCTGTGTTTATATTATTTAAGTCCATACATTCAAAATGTCAACAACAAAGTTTTTTCTCATCTTTGTATTTGTCATCGGCACAAATACATGCTCTGAGTATGATCTTGTGCAGGTGACCAGAAGGACCTTCCTTTGGAGTAACTGAATAGCAATGCTAGTATTTAGTATACTTATTTTCTGTGGGGAGCCCCATCGGCTCCTGGAGCTATCAGCTAATGTGTGATATATTAGACCGGGGCATTAGTCTAAGGAGTTCGACCTACCGGGGACCATCTGAGGAGGTCAGGTTCTGGTTCTCTCTCTTCCCTGGCCAGGCAGGCAGGCAGGCTTCCTCCCTCCTTCCCTGCCTGCCTGCCTGCCTGCCTGGCAGGCTCCCTCCCTGCCTGCCTGGCAGGCCCCCTCCCTCCCTGCCTGCCTGGCAGGCCCCCTCCCTGCCTGCTTGCCTGGCAGGCTCCCTCCCTCCCTTCCTGCCTGGCAGGCTCCCTCCCTCCCTCCCTGCCTGGCAGGCTCCCTCCCTCCCTCCCTGCCTGGCAGGCTCCCTCCCTCCCTCCCTGCCTGGCAGGCTCCCTCCCTCCCTCCCTGCCTGGCAGGCTCCCTCCCTCCCAGGCTCCCTCCCTCCCTCCCTGCCTGGCAGGCTCCCTCCCTCCCAGGCTCCCTCCCTCCCTCCCTGCCTGGCAGGCTCCCTCCCTCCCTCCCTCCCTGCCCAGGCTCCCTCCCTCCCTCCCTCCCTGCCTGGCAGGCTCCCTCCCTCCCTCCCTCCCTGCCTGGCAGGCTCCCTCCCTCCCTCCCTCCCTGCCTGGCAGGCTCCCTCCCTCCCTCCCTCCCTGCCTGGCAGGCTCCCTCCCTCCCTCCCTCCCTGCCTGGCAGGCTCCCTCCCTCCCTCCCTCCCTGCCTGGCAGGCTCCCTCCCTCCCTCCCTCCCTGCCTGGCAGGCTCCCTCCCTCCCTCCCTCCCTGCCTGGCAGGCTCCCTCCCTCCCTCCCTCCCTGCCTGGCAGGCTCCCTCCCTCCCTCCCTCCCTGCCTGGCAGGCTCCCTCCCTCCCTCCCTCCCTGCCTGGCAGGCTCCCTCCCTCCCTCCCTCCCTGCCTGGCAGGCTCCCTCCCTCCCTCCCTCCCTGCCTGGCAGGCTCCCTCCCTCCCTCCCTCCCTGCCTGGCAGGCTCCCTCCCTCCCTCCCTCCCTGCCTGGCAGGCTCCCTCCCTCCCTCCCTCCCTGCCTGGCAGGCTCCCTCCCTCCCTCCCTCCCTGCCTGGCAGGCTCCCTCCCTCCCTCCCTCCCTGCCTGGCAGGCTCCCTCCCTCCCTCCCTCCCTGCCTGGCAGGCTCCCTCCCTCCCTCCCTCCCTGCCTGGCAGGCTCCCTCCCTCCCTCCCTCCCTGCCTGGCAGGCTCCCTCCCTCCCTCCCTCCCTGCCTGGCAGGCTCCCTCCCTCCCTCCCTCCCTGCCTGGCAGGCTCCCTCCCTCCCTCCCTCCCTGCCTGGCAGGCTCCCTCCCTCCCTCCCTCCCTGCCTGGCAGGCTCCCTCCCTCCCTCCCTCCCTGCCTGGCAGGCTCCCTCCCTCCCTCCCTCCCTGCCTGGCAGGCTCCCTCCCTCCCTCCCTCCCTGCCTGGCAGGCTCCCTCCCTCCCTCCCTCCCTGCCTGGCAGGCTCCCTCCCTCCCTCCCTCCCTGCCTGGCAGGCTCCCTCCCTCCCTCCCTCCCTGCCTGGCAGGCTCCCTCCCTCCCTCCCTCCCTGCCTGGCAGGCTCCCTCCCTCCCTCCCTCCCTGCCTGGCAGGCTCCCTCCCTCCCTCCCTCCCTGCCTGGCAGGCTCCCTCCCTCCCTCCCTCCCTGCCTGGCAGGCTCCCTCCCTCCCTCCCTCCCTGCCTGGCAGGCTCCCTCCCTCCCTCCCTCCCTGCCTGGCAGGCTCCCCTCCCTCCCTGCCTGGCAGGCTCCCTCCCTCCCTGCCTGGCAGGCTCCCTCCCTCCCTGCCTGGCAGGCTCCCTCCCTCCCTCCCTCCCTATTTCACCATTTTGACGAGAAATTTAAATAATTTCACTTGTGAAATTATCTTAGTACTGTAATTGTGATGAGCTGTGACATTTATGGCAAGTGGTTTACAATAAGTGTTAGGCTGGGCATTTCACTTGTTTATCTCCCAGTGGTAAAGGTTCACATTTTATATTCAGTATCACGTCAACTCTTGGTGTTGGAGAGATTTTTAGGCTTCAAATGTTGACTTGTACACCAGCATACATAGTAAAAACTCTGCCTGTATTTGTATCCGGATAAACCTCTGCTCATCTGGATTCTATGGACATTCATCTGGATGTATACATAAAACTATCTGGACGCAATTTTATCCGGATGACCCCATTATCTGGTTTAGCAGAATCTGGATAATAGAGTTCATACAGTACATAAATGATACACAGTAGTTTAATAGAGGAAGGGGTTTATATAAAATACTTTTTCTTGTTCAAATAGTATTTTTGTGTTTACCTGCTTCTTCACCTTTCAGCAGTTTGGAAAATAAGGTAAAGATTAGATATATCTTTAATAAATAACACTATTCCTTCACAGTCACCTTCCACCTTCTCAAGGAGGACGGTACTCTGGCTTTGGGAACTGCCCCAACCCACCTCCAAAGAGTGCATCAACTGAGATACTGGACACTGCGCTCAGCTCTCTGTCTACTGTAAGTGTCAGTTGGATAACAGGGTGTTAGGAAGTGTGTCTGTAAAGTGAAAAGTATGTCATTGTAAGGTGAAGCTGTGAGGTGTTTCTTGAGAAGTGTAATTACCTAGCATGTAATAATGACACGTCTTCCCAGTATTCTGTCATATGACAATTTATAACTACTGACGGTTTTGGCATCCACTACCTTCTCACTGAACTTGTTCAAATGTCTACCACTCTGTTTCCAAAAGAGAACTTTCTAATATTTTTTGGGATACCTTTATTTCCTTAGCTTGAATCAGTGACCTCTTTGTCAATTTTGTTGATTCATGTTACTGTTATGTATACAGTACAACTTGGATACAATGAACTACAATGGGGCCTCGACTTAAGATGCTAATCCGTTCCCAGAGACGGATCGTAAGTCGAAATATTGTAAGTCGAAGCGATTTTTCCTATAAGAAATAAAGGGAATTGAATTAATCCGTTCCCCACCCTCCAAAATATTAACATACAGATACATTTTATACTGAATACAATGTTTTTTTCTAACTACAATACAGTACCAAAGTTTCTCTTACCTGTATGGAGGACTCTTGATGGGGTATGGAAGATGGTGATGAGGGGGGAGGAGGAGAGTTATTAATGTTTGGAAGGGGAGTCCCCTTCCATTATCACATCAGGCAGTGATGTTTTGTCTGGGGTACTCTCCCTCCTACGCTTTGCCTGAATACCACTAGGACCTGGTTGTGGTTCAGTGCTTGTTTGTCTCACTACAAATTTGTCAAGAGACATTTGTTTTTCCCTTAGTTTTAACATTTGTCTGTAATGATGCATCGCAGTGCCATTGAATATGTTAAGGCAACGACCTACTGCAGCTTGATTTGGGTGAGTCGTTTCAGCAAAGGTTTGCAATTCTTCCCATGCTGCACACATTTTCTTAATTGTTGAGGAAGAGACATTATGTACTCTTGTTTCTGCTCTATGGTCATCCTTACATGGGTTTTCATATGTTGAGCCTTACCACTGACTTTCTTGGGACTCATGGCGTGATATATAATAATGACTTTAATGTTCAAAATGCAAAAAATCATCACAAAAGCCGAATTTCTTATAGGCGCGATCGTCACTAAGCGGGCAGCTGTAGTAAACTGAGGCAGGTTGGCCGCATGACCGGGAACCACGCACTCGGTCGACCCAAACGTGTACCAACAAATATCGGAAGTCGACGACACCATCGGATGTCGAGTTGCATTTTTTGATGAAATTTACATCATAACTTGAAATTATCGTAAGTAGGGGCAATCGTATGTCGAGGTGCCACTGTATATGGGACCAACCCCCAATTCGTTGCGGCGAGAGATTCGTTGCAACTGAAGATTGCTCCAGGGGCCCATATTTGTGAACGAAAACCGGGAAATCTCAAAATTAAATGAACCGTGTAATTTGATTTTAAATGTGCTCAGTGGCTTTTCCAAGGCCCCAACTCTTATAATATTGCATTATCTATGAAAATCGCCAAGAATGTGATTGGAGCCATATTAGCTGTGCCTGGCTGGTAGGTGGGCAGGGCAATTTGGCAGGCAGACAGGTGGGTGAGCGAGTGGGCTGGATGGATGGATGGATGGTAGGCAGATGGGTTTGATAGTTGGCAGGTGGATGGATGTGCATTCATACTCAAATACTTTGTACTCTCTCTAGGTTGATTTCACTAAGGAAATCTGTATTTTTAACCTATGATATGGTGGGCAAGTTTTACATCAGTATGTGAACTCTGTGCCAACATCCTGAGCAAATCCTCACATCCCCTGCTTCAGCGAACAAGAGTTTGTTGGATCGGGTGATAAAATCTGGCCCAGAAAGTGGAATGACCTAAGTGTAGTTACAGGATGAGAGTTATGCTTGTGGTGTCCCATCTTCCCAGTACTCTTTCTCTTTGTCGTATAACGCTTTGAAGCTACTGACGGTTTTGATCTTCACCACCACCTTACTTAGCTTTTGTGCGCTCCAACCAGAGATTCACCGAATCGAGGTTAGTTTAACCCTTAAACTGCGCATGGCGTATATATACGCCCTGAGTAACATGTCCCATGGTGCGCATGGCGTATATATACGCCATAGGGTGCCAGGCCTGATTCAAATGGCCCGCGGCTACACGGGGTTCACAGTAGCTTCCGGAGGGCTCTTGTAAACAGATGCCATTTAAAAAAAAAAATCGTGGGCAATATTCTCAGGTGTGAGAGGCACAGGCCGGCGCACGCAGCATGAGCGAACAGCATTGATGTTCAGCTTGTGACCACAGCATCGCCGAAAAATGTCAAAACAAATATATAATTGTTATTATTTAGCGATGACAATATTACAGATGACCAATGACTGTGATATAAATAACCGGGGTTGTGATAATAGCAGGATTGTTGTAATAATTAGCGCTGTGGGAGGAGTGATGCTGAGAGACGGAGGGAGACAGCATCGTTTACTGACTGTGTGGCCACCTGTTATTGTTTGCATTCACCATACCAGGTCAGTGGTTCTCTATGGTGGACACAAATGTAGATACTTATATATAATGTGTGTATTAGTGTAATAACAGCAAAAGGATTATGCTGGGAGGAGCCATATGGGTGACGGAGGTGACGTCGTCTGCACGATTTGTCTAGCTGTTTAGAGGGTGGCCACTATGCTCTTTGGGCGCACTACAAGTTTAGGTGTACAGTTACGGTGCATAAAACATGTAGATATTTATATATAATATGTGTATATAGGGTAATAACACTGCAAAAGGTATTGTTGGGGGAGAAAGTTTAGTGCGTGTGACCTTGAATGAGTGAGGGAGCCGCCAGCCGCCATCTGTGTATAGTGACGACTCTTAGTGCATGAACTAACTATATCAGCTTAGCTGTACAGTTGTGGTGAACAAAATATATACATACTTATATATAACGTCTGTATATAGTGTAATAACACCACAAATGGTATTGTTGGGGGAGAAAGTTTAGTGCGTGTGACCTTGAATGAGTGAGGGAGCCGCCATCTGTGTATAGCGACGACTCTTAGTGCCTGAACTAACTATATCAGCTTAGCTGTACAGTTGTGGTGAACAAAATATACACATACTTATATATAACGTCTGTATATAGTGTAATAACACCACAACTGGTATTGTTGGGGAAGAAAGTTTAGTGCGTGTGTTGAGGGAGTGGCAGCGAGTGTCTGGGTGTGTGTGTGTGGCGGTTAACTCCTCGTTGCTTTTCGACTCTCAATACCAACTTAGTGGTTCGTTATGGTGACCAAAACATGCCAATACTTATATATAACCTGTGTATAGAGTGTAATAGCAGCAAAACTATTTGTTTATAGTTTTATAAACATAATAATTGAATCACTAATATGCACATCATACTTTTGAGTATAGCGATTATTAACCACTTTTATTATATAAATATATTACAATACACACTATTGAATAATATTACTGCAAAAAAACTAAGAAAAAATCAATCAGAGACATTGAAACAATTAGGTAATAATATCTATCTTTGTGGCAACTCCCATCTGTCAACGTGGGTGACGCTGACCGGGTCTGACGACCGCTCTGTCAACGCCCACTTTTTGCCAGACTTCCTCGGTCAATTGCGCCCAAAATATGTCGCCTACGATTTTTTTTTTATTTGTTCCGTGCTCAGGGGACACAAATTAACATGTTTAGAAGACGAAAAAATTTTTTTGAATTTTTTTTTTTTTCTTGCGCACAGGGGTGTAAATGTCCCAAGGACCCCTGAGCAGTGTAAGGGTTAATTGAGGTACCACTGTTTAGTGATTATTTTGCCCCTCTTTTCTCCTATCTTCTCACTTTGGAATATTTAACATCTCTAACCTCTCTTCATAGCTTTTGTTTTTCAGTTCCAGAAGCCATTTAGTAGCATGTCTTTGCACCTTTTCCAGTTTATCGATGTGCTTCTTGATACATGGGCATCACACAACTGCTTGCTGCATGTTCCAATTTTAGTCTCATGAAAGTTGTGAAAAATTTCTTTAGTATTTTGCCATCCATGTTTATTTAAAAATTTTAAAAGGGATTATGAAGTTGGAAAGAATAGCATATGGTTCTCGTTCTATGTCCTTTATATGGTCCTCTGGTGACTGTTTACTATCCAGAATCACCCCTAGATATCCTTTGTCATAGTTCTTTAACACAATTGGTGGCCTGGCGGGCGACCCGCCGTGTACCTCATGGTAGACCGAGCATTGCACGTGAATTCGCTGCCACCATCACCACAAATGTTTATTCTCTTTCTAGGGGGAGTCCTGTCGGCTCCCTGGAGTTTATCCAGGCTCATGCTAATGTCAGACTTTGGCATCAGTCATGTGTATGGAGTTCTGTGGGCCTACCGAGGACCACGAGCTAGAACCTGGCCCCCTCAGAGAGGCACGGGGAGCAATGGCCTATTACAATGGCCTATTGCAATGGCAATGGCCTATAACCCCCGTGTGGTTAGAAGCGTTCTATGTCAGCCATTGACAGGGCCAGGAACCCAGAAAGGTAAGTGTCCCAAAACAAATACCTATTCTGGTGAAAATTGCTACCAAAAGCCGAACAAGTGGATAGAACTCGCCAAAAAGAAACAAGCAAATGAGCATGACGTCACACATCGCCACGCTGCTGTCTGTGCAGCGGAGGGGGAAGGGGAAGCCCCAGACCCTCGCGCCGGCTATCCACCCTTCAGTTCTAAGGCTGATGCTAGAAGCAACGGTTGTGTGCTCCAGCTCCGGTGGTTGTTTCAGCACTGTACCTAGTGTATGGTGACTGACTGCTAAGTGGTGCGTGAGCGGGAGTGATTCTTCAGTGCTCTGGCTGCATGCACCTAGGGTTTCCTTCCCTAGGTGCCCTGTAAGTACTGCCCTTGGGGCTTGGGGTTACCTTCCATAAGTTCCTTGGGTTCTGCCTCTGCTAAACCATTTACTGCTTGGTTTTCGGATGCCTTTTGTGTGCTAGGGTGTTGTCTCCCTTGTTCACCT